CCCTGATGGTCACGGCGAACAATGTCGGTTCCTGGAATACAAGTCTGATTTGCAAGCGGAGCCACTTGACGTTGAGCTCTCACAGATCAACACCATCGAGTCAGACAGCTTCCTCGAGTGGGTCGTGGAAGCGCTCGATCAAGACAGGTAGTTGAACTTGTCGTTGCCTGAGCAAGATCTCACCAACGCAGTTCTTGGCAGGAGACAATGAGTCAATCATGGAACGTGGTCAATGGTTTCGTAGTGCCACGGGCACGTGTGATAGCTAGGGGAAGTGTGTGAATGGCTATTCACCATATGGAATGACATGATGTGCACCTTGCATCTCGGGAGCAAGCAACACGAGAACGAGCTAAAAAAGATAGTGAAAAAGACATCAACAATGTCGCCGGCATTCGCTGAAGGATCAATAAGATGCATACTCTTACATATTCATAACGGCAACGTACCCTCGCTGCTCTGGGTAAGTGTTTTAAATGATGAAGAAAAATGCAACAAATCCTCCACCATGCCAAAAAGGCCGCGTTCATGTCGCCTTACAAGTCTCCAAGAACCTTCTGGGAACCGAAAGCATGTGCAGTACGAACAGTGGAGATAACCTGAGCAAGAGCTGCATGTAGGCAGAAATGAACTTGTTCATGCCGGCACCAGTGATGCTGATACACGGCAGGATGGAAGAAAGCACAGGAGCCAGTGACCTTCTCAGAGATACTCTGCTGCACAAGATCTGAACCAATATGTCAACAAGCTAGGAAATGAACAGGATACCAAGATACGTACGGGTGTCCATCTGGATACAGGTAGCAACCTTGCGGATCCGCTTTGTGTAGACCCAAATGTACATATAGACAAACATCGCGAGCAGCATACCAAGGCCTGGAAACGTTGAGAGCGTGTGTACTGTTCAGATTGTAACTTGCTTACTGGTATAGGCAAGACAAGATGCATTGGAAGCAGCGGCGCGCCAGAAGTTGGCAGCAGAAGCCAAGTCTGCTCCTCCTCCGTCTGTCCGAAGCTACCAGAGTTTTCAGTGAGTCGACTGAACAGTAGACTCATTAAATGCTGGAAACATTTTTGAGGGTACTATTTTGGCTGAAAGTGAGTAATAGCATGGGTGGTGGTGTTGCGAGAGAGTTGGCTCGGGTGATGTGATGATGGTAGCGGGCCAGGTTCTCAGCACTCAGCGCACATCCCTCCATATCAAGGCGCGCAAAATGCAAGAGCTTGCGCACTGTTTCTTCACTGAATATATCAACACCGACAGATGCTTCAGATGTCAGTGGTGGCCAGTCTGCCATGCTTCTTCTGCCATGTTGGACTAAAGTGTACATTCAGTTAAGATCTTACTTTTACACCGCACTTGTGAGCACCAACTGAATTCCTTGCCCTTGCCGTAACAGCAGCAGGCTCCAACTAAATTTCTTGCCTTAGCAGCAGCAAGCTCCTAGCTTGCCAAGCACTGCTCAGCATTGTAAGATGAAAGTGAGATTAGATTGGGATAGTGTATACACATCCAAGAAAAGACACTAGTTCATAAGAAAAGCTGGTAGCCGGCAGGCAGGCAGTTACTGCAAATTCCTGTGAGAATCTTGAGAAAAAACAGTAATAATAAACATACCAGTGTTTTATTATATGCAATTATGGCCTGCACGGCCTGCTTGATGGTGCTCTCCTCAAAAATATGACGCCCACTCATCTCTATGATTGCAGCAGTCTCAAGCTGGCATAGCGCACCCATTCCCCATATGTAGAGCTTACGGAAATGATACACAATCTGAACCAAAGGAAGAGGTTCCTTTGGACACAAGACGCACCTAGCCACCTTTGTCCACCAAGCCTCTTCGAATGCAGCAGTGCATTGGGCTTGATTCTCACACATGACATGTGCTATCACTGG